TCCATTCGCTTGAGTTGGCTTGAGATAACAACAACACCAAGTCAGACTTCTCACCGTTCTCATCCTTGTCGTCCTCGGATGGTCCGGTCTGAGAGGGACGAGCTATCACACGAGCCAGGCAGTCCATCTTCAAGTGACCCTTCTCCCAACACTTGAAACACTTCCCCTGAAAAATCTTTTCCTTAGACGAATCAGACTCGGAGTTAGACTTTGACTTCTGGTTCTGCTTCTTCGCACTCTTCCTCACAGGTCTAGACTAGACATGAGTGCAACACTGTGTTTCTTCGGACCAGGTTGAGTCAGCAAGTCGAGATACCTCTCACGCNTAGACGAATCAGACTCGGAGTTAGACTTTGACTTCTGGTTCTGCTTCTTCGCACTCTTCCTCACAGGTCTAGACATGAGTGCAACACTGTGTTTCTTCGGACCAGGTTGAGTCAGCAAGTCGAGATACCTCTCACGCACTTTAGTCTCTATGAACGACGGGTCATTTGGACAGAACACCACCAGAGTTTCACGCAGGGTCTTATACTCATGTGACAATCCCTCGAGCATCAGGTTGCATACCTCTCTGTCATCTTTCTTAACTTCCAGCATCTGAAGCACACCAAGCGTCTCTCTCATAGATGTAAAGAAGATGGAGGGATTCTCATTCGAACGCATGCGCAATGACTTGAGTTTCTCCTCTTGCACACGAATCTGACTCTGGCTCAACGGTAGGAAGTGATCTTTGAGCACTCAGAACGCCTTGCTGGGGGAACCAGCGTGTCTAGCCATAGTTTTCAGACTTTTCCTTCTTCAAGCAATCAAACAGAAACCACCATCCCATTTCAGCCTGACGCAGCACACCCACACTGAATCCTTTCTCTACCCAGGGGGTCAAGTCGAAACCAATGTCAGCAATTGGAATCTCAGTCTCAGAAACAAACGCTTCAAACAGATTGTTGTGCCGGGCACTCAGCAGAAAATTCTGTAACCACGAGGGATTGGACACGTCGGTCCCATCGAAAACAGGAGCCCTGGAAACTTTAAAAGGACCCCTACCCAATTTCTCTCCTGAATCTGTAATGCCGGCCCCAGGAATCAATGTGTTTCCACGGGCGACACTTTCCCACCACTTACTCGACGGAGTAGGTGCGGGTGGAACAGAGGACTGGCTACCTAAAGCCCCACCTACAGTCCCAGGAACGAAAGACTGGCTACCTAAATAGAATATAAAAGCCCCACTTCCAATTCCAATCGAACCAAAGCTTGCAGCACCAGCAGAGGAACGATTAACAACAGCAGTCACATGAGGGTTCAAGCCTGAGTCTACAAGACTGCTACTCCCAACCCGCATGCCGGACACGCCAAGGCCTTGGGCATGGCCGCCCGTACCTCCCGCGGTCCTAACAGTAGCATCAGAAGGATGCGTACCAGTCTCTGTTCCGCCGCCTCCCGGCGCGGCAGCCGACACAGAGGACTCCACCTGCTCCCTCTGTTGGCCAACAAGCGACGTGACTAGAGTCGTAAGTTGGGACAACTGCGTCTCTAGGGAAACCATCCTCTCACCAACATCCTGCGAATTACCCTGAGGTGGGTCATCCGCAGACTTTCCTTCTTCACCAGCCATGATGAGATAGGTTGATCAGGCCTCTCTCGAACAGTCTCGTGCCGCCCAGGGGGACGTTGGAGCAGTTGACTTTTGTCGCTATAGCGTG